GCTCACTTGGTAGCCCAGGCTGGCCTCGAACTCACAGAGATCCGCCTGGCTCTGCCTCCCGAGTGCTGGGATTAAAGGCGTGCGCCACCAACGCCCGGCCTTCCCCCAGCTTCTTATCTCTTCTCTGGGACCTTCTGGTTCTAGAGGTTTTGTTACCAGAGAATACCCCAGTGGATGTCCTTGATCTGCTACTTTCCCTTGGTCACATTTCCAAGGCGTGTGTGTGTGTGTGTGTGTGTGTGTGTGTTTTCCTTTCTTTTTATGGCGGAATACTATTCTGTTGTGTGGATAGACCATGCCATGTTGTCCACTCATCACCTGGTGGACGTTTCCGATCTGCAAACATTCACAGGAACTTTGTTTTTCCTTTTAACCTGTTTTAAATTCTTTAAGATATTTGGATAGGGATAAGATGGTTGGTTTTTATGGGAATTCCATACCTAACTTATATATCTTATTTCATCAAAATTACACTTATGTATTTAATGTGTGTGTTTGTATGTGTGTTTGTATGTGTGTATGTGTGTGTGTGTGTGTGTGTGTGTGTGTGTGTGAATGCATGTGGAGGTCAGAGGACAAGTTGCAGGAGTCAGTTCGTTCCTTCCACCACGTGAGTTGAACTTGCTGAGCCATCTTGCTGGCCCTTTCCCTTTCTCATTTATTATTATTAAAGGTTTATTTTTTATTTTATGTATATGAATGTCTTATCTTCTCGTACGTTTGTGCACCATTGTGTGCCTGGTGTCAGAGGAGAGCAGAAGAGGGTGTAAGTAAGGATTTCTGAGAGCCAGAGTTACAATTAGTTGCTGGGAATCGAACCTGGGTACTCTGGAAGAGCAACAGGTGCTCTGAACTGCTCAGCCACTTCTCCAGCCCCATGAAGAAGAGGTTCATTTTGCCTCATGCTTTGAGGGTGCAGTCCGTCACGGTGGGGAAGGCGCAGCAGCAGGAGCATGAGGCGGCTGGTCACGTGGCATCCGTAGTCAGGAAGCAGAGAGAGATGAACTCTGGTGCTCAGTTTTCATTCAGTCGGAGATGCCAGGACCTGGGATGGACGGTGCTGCCCACATTCGTGGTGGGTTTCCCTCCCTCAATGAAACCTTTTTGCCTCCATTGCGGACAGGCCCAGAGATGTATCTCCTAGATGTGGTTCCAAATCCCATCAAGGGCACAGGGACAGCGGACCCTCACAGTGAGTTATTTGAAGTAGAAGCTGCTCGGTTGGAGCCTCCCCGCTAACCCCTGCATTATCGGGAAGCCCCATTCCTGTCTCTCTCTCTCTCTCCAAACCCCACCCACTCAGCGAGCCTCTGAACAAAGGGAAGGCACCAGAAAGCCCAGTTCTGTATTTTTGGTGGCTTTTGCAGCTTCCTCCCCTGAAGTTGCCAGGCCCCAAGTCCCCACGTAAGCGCTCAGCTTTTGACCATACTTCAGGACAAACCCAGTTTGTGGCGGACACATCATCACCCCTCACCTCCAGTCTATAAAACTTTCCTGCCCTGGCTCGGTGCAAGACTTCTCTGGCCTCGATCTCTGGGACCAGAGAACCTACCTGGAAGCTGCTTTGTTCAGTCTACCTGTTGTTACACTTTTTCAATTCGGTTTGATCTGGTTTACTGCGTCGGGGGAGAGACCTATTGCGGGGAGCAGGAAACCTATTAGAAGTTGTTTTCATTTAAAGTCCGGCTAATTTTTGTCTTTGAGGGTTCAAGCCTTCCAGTGGTTTGTTTTTTTGTCTTTTTGTTGTTGTTGTTCTAGAGGATTTTGGACTTTATACAGCCCCTCGGTGATACATTTTGTATTAAATCTACACAGGGTCAAGTGCAAGAGTCCTTTTTTCGTGTAGATAGCCCGCCGATCGATTTGTTGAAAATAAGTTCTTTTGTGCATTGTATTACCTTGACATCTTGCCAAAAATCCACTGACAGAACACCTGCAGGTCACTGTCGGACTCGTCAAGTCTGTGCTGATGCTCTCCAGGTGACCTGACCCTGTCACCCCGGTGTCTCTGATTTACGTGGCTTATTCCTTGGTGTTTGAGAAGCGAAATGTTCCAGTTTCTCTTCTGTGAATCTGCTGATTCAGGTCCCTGTCCTTGTGGCCGCCTTTATTTAACGTTAGTGACCCCCATGCTGCAAACACAGCCTCACCATGTGCTGGAACTTTCGCATGCGGGGGTGTGGGGCAGAGACATTCAGTCTTCCACAGCTTGCTGGTTCCAGCACCCCAGCTTCTTCCCAGCCTCCTCCACCTCCCCCTGACAACACTCTTCTGGGCAACACCTGATATTGTTCAACAGCTCTTCTGTTTTTGTTTTTTTTTCGAGACAGGGTTTCTCCGTGTAGCTTTGCACCTTTCCTGGAACTCACTTGGTAGCCCAGGCTGGCCTCGAACTCACAGAGATCCACCTGCCTCTGCCTCCTGAGTGCTGGGATTAAAGGCGTGCGCCACCACTGCCCGGCTCAGCAGCTCTTCTGATGTGGGTCAGAAAGTGGCATCGAATTCTAGGCAATCCCCACATTTAACTCCCACTTCAAAGACAGTGGGTGGGGGGGGGGTGTCAGAGGACTCGGCTGAATTGCATCAACCAAGTCCAGAATTCAGGAAGCACAAGAGAACAGCCTGGAGCAAAACCAGGAAGGATGAGGGGGCTTTAGAGCTCACACACTTGAAAGCTGTGCAGAGCATCCTGGTCTTAACAAACTAAGGGAAATATTTGCCACATAGTTTTAGAAAAATGGGCTTCTGACTAATGATTCTCAGGATTTACATTCTTCTGTGTGATAGATTTTTGAAGTCTACTTTTCTTAAGTATGAACAGTCAAGTAAGAAATGTGTTTATTCCCTCATCCATCTTTCCTGACAGCTTTAATGGTCATAGATGATTGATAGATCCAGTACTTCCATCCCGACGGCACGGTGGTAATTTCTTGATTCTATGGTTCTTGAGCTTGTTAACTGTGACTCTTCTGAAGAATAGGTTCCTTCATTAACTGCTTGATAACCCTGACACAAACCCACATAGGACAGGCATAGTTAATACCCGTACTTTTTACCAATAGTGATGGATAATCTTCACTGTCAACTTGACCAGATTTGGAGTCACCTAGGAGACACACCTCTGTGTGTGTCTGTGAGGGTGTCTCTAGAGAGGTTTAACTGGGGAGGTACGGTCACCTGGGATGTAGTTGGCATCATCCCACAGATTGGACTGAATAAAAAGGAGAAAGTGAGCTGAACATCAGCATCATCTCCCTCTGCTTCCTGTATCCTGTGGATACAATGCAGTCAGGTACCTCTTGTTTCTACCAACATGCCTTTGCCACCATGATGAACTATATGCTCAACCATGACTAAATCCCCCACTTTCCTTAAGTCGCCTTTGTTAGTATTTTGTCACCGCAATGAGAAGCCACTAATATATCAACTTTGAGAAGAATGACTTGGTACTCAGCTTCCAGGATGACCAGTGAACGTTTTCCATTGTGGCATCATTAGAGGCGTAGAGATTCTTGTATCTTGGTTGTGTTTCAATATAGTAAAGTCATAATTTTCTTCTTCCATGGCCAAAGGCTCTCTCTTGGGCCATTGGGGACCCATCAAATTGGTTTCTATGTCATTTTGCTCTGGCCTTTTCCCCCTTTAATATATTTCTTCCTTCCAGGCATGACAGACCATCATCTCCGTCTCTGGCTCTAGATCTCGTTAGAGACTTCTGCAGTTGGTGTCAGTTTAGATGGAGGAGGAAGCCTGTGGGGCTAGTGATGTTTGTTCCTGGTCTGCCATTGCCACCAGCCTGCTTGAGTGACAGATAGAAGAAGCAGGTATTGTTTTCTGAAAGGGAAAATTAATCCTCAATTTCCAACTGAAAAATTAAGAATACACAGGTTTTACCTAATGTTTCTGAGGCTGTATTTACGTCCTTGCGGGGTTTTTTTTTTTCACATTTGTTACTTTGTGTGTCTGTGATGTGTGTGCATGTGTGGGGGTGCACATGTGAAGGAGACAACTGTGGGAGTCAGTTCTTTCCTTCCACCAATCAGAGGAAGAAGAGAAGGGGAGAAAGGGAAATGTAAACACATACATTGGTGCCTATGTGAGTAGAGAATATACGCATATCACCTGTCTCCCCTTCCTCCCTTCTTTCCTTTCCTTTTCTTTCTTTTTTTTTTTTCTGAGACAGGGTTTTTCTCTGTGTTGTTTTGGTGCCTGTCCTGGAATTCCCTTTGTAGACCAGGCTGGCCTCGAACACACAGAGATCCGCCTGGCTCTGCCTCCCGAGTGCTGGGATTAAAGGCGTGCGCCACCACTGCCCGGCTCTTCCTTCCTTCCTTCCTTTCTTTCTTTTATGGTTTTTTTTTTTTTTTTTTTTAAGGTCTCTTTTGTAATTTTAATTGAAGCACTGCTAATCACTTGAGTCTTTTTAAAGCACCAAATTTTAATATCTAAGTCAATTTGGGAATGGGGGGGGGACACTATCAGGAACTTCTCTCCAGAATAAAACAATATTTACTCCTCCACATGTCCAAATTAAAATCTACTAAAACCCAAACCCCACACAGAGAAAAAAAAATACTAAAATCACATTCTAGGGGGTCAGTGCATTCCGCAGTCTTTGCTGGGCTGTCTAATTGTCCTTCAGCTGACTTTCAAAAATTAACACCCTAGCTCATTAAAATATACATTTTCCCATTGGCTTTTTTAAATTAAAAATAATAATTAAAAAAACACTTGAAGGAATTCGTGACCAGTTGCCTGACTCAGTTGATGGTATATAGGACATATGGAAGTCAGGAAGGTGGCTTGCAGCACACGACATTCAGGGGATGCTCATCTTTAAGGCTTAGCTTTCTTCCAAACAGTGTAAAATACCCACAATTCCAAGTATGAAGGGACACAGACAATCTCTTTCGAGAATTCCACAGGACAATACAGGCGCCCCAGCTGTTCTTCATAGAGCGACAGGGCTTCAGTCAAATTGACACAATTCCCCTGTGTGAAGTATTTCCCATCCTGTTTCAGAACTTTCATGGACAGGTCGAGAATCAGTCTGAGAAACTCCCATGTAGAATCTTCTTCTGGAGATGTAGAGATTGGGACTGCTGTCAAATCATTAATCACATAATCAAACTCTCTCCCTTCTTTGGCGTACCTCTTCAGTACTGGAATACAGTCTTCTATGAGAACCTGATAACAGTCTCCTTTAAGATTGTCTAAGACATCTCCACATGTTCTTCGCATGTATTTCTTACATCCGTCAATTACCATTTGGTCAATCTCTACCATGGTGACCATCTTTGGTTTCAGTTTGACAATTTCACATAATATGCCACCATCTCCACCTCCCAGAATCAGTACATCTTTGCCAGCATAATCTTCTTTACCGCTGCCCATGATGGCTCGGGTATACGCCAAGTCACTCTCTGCCAAATTAACATCACCACTGAGGATGAGAATATTTCCAAACTGCTTTGAGTGTAGAATTTTAATGTTCTGATATGGTGAATCTTCATCATACACCACTTCATCTATGTCATACTCAACCAGGCGCCCATCAGCAGTAGGCCAGTATCTGTCAATGGCCCCTCCTCGAACTATGGGTGGTAAACGCTTCACCCGCCCAGTTCTGTCCTGACTCAGTTCTTTCATTTTTTCTTCTATTTTGTTCAAAAGGCTGTCAGTTTCTTGTTTGCCTTGCGCGTCACTGTCGTAACTCTGAAGGTCCAGCAACACCAATCCATGGGGATAAATCCTCAAATTGGCAAAGCTGCCATTTTTGTTCGTGTAGGTTGCTAAATAGCCATGGTCCTGCCAGGCGTGCACTGACTCTGCCATCCCATGCTCCTGAAAAATGGACTGAAGGCCTTTCAGAATGGCCTCACCGTCAGCTTTGGCGCCGAGCGTGAAGTCGAGCGTGCTGTGCCTCGCTGCTGCCATAGTGTGGCGAGGCCCTGTGCCATGCCTGGGGAGGCGACCGCGGGAGACTGAGGGACCGCGCGGCGTGTCAAGCTGCGGGCCGGCCTCTTTTATGGTTTTTTGAGACAGGTTTTTTCTGTGTAGCCCTGGCTGTCCTGAACTCACTCTGTAGCCCAGGCTGGCCTCGAACTCACAGAGATCCACCTGCCTCTGCCTCCTGAGTGCTGGGATTAAAGGCGAGTGCCATCACTGCCCGGCTATATCTCCTGTTTCTTATAAGGTAGGCATCACCCTGTACATTTCTTGAGACAGTCCGTCTTTGACACACCACGGCCATCTGAGAACCTTTGAACTAATTTGTGTAGCCTCCTAGGGGACCATTTTATATGTAACACTGCAGGACTCTACATGAATGGGGGCTATTTCCAGGATTCGGTGGTAAGGGTCTAGGGGGTATGTAGCATTTCTACCTGTTGATCTAATTTCTCTTTGATTAAAAACTCTAAGTGAGAACCCGGCAGTGGTGGCGCACGCCTTTAATCCCAGCACTCGGGAGGCAGAGCCAGGCGGATCTCTGTGAGTTCGAGGCCAGCCTGGGCTACAGAGTGAGTTCCAGGAGAGGCACCAAAACTACACAGAGAAACCCTGTCTTGAAAAACAAAACAAAACCTCCAAGTGTATGAGTGTATGCTGGGGGCAAGAATTCAAAGGGCTGAGGCCTGTCTATAGCCATATTACCCTGAATGTGCCCAGTCTCATCAAAGGCTAAGGCCTACTTAGTTTTGGTAATCACTTCCCGATTCCTCCATTTAGGGTCCTGCCAACTTTCATTCTCATCAGCAATGCATTCCGTTTGGGTTATAACAAGTTTAAAAAATGCACATACAATTCTAGCCAGTCCTGATGGCTCAGGGCTTTAATCTCAGTGGTTGAGAAGCCGAGGCAGGAGGACCACTGTGAGTTTGAGATAGGCATGGGCTAAATGGCAAGTTCCAGGTCAACCCAGGCTACTGAATGAGAGCTGGCTCAACACAACACAACACACACACACACACACACACACACACACACACACACACACACTTTTTTTTTTTTTTCGAGACAGGGTTTCTCTGTGTAGCTTTGCGCCTTTCCTGGAACTCGCTTTGGAGACCAGGCTGGCCTCGAACTCACAGAGATCTGCCAGCCTCTGCCTCCCGAGTGCTGGGATTAAAGGCGTGCACCACCGCCCGGCAACACACACACACTTTAAGCATTTCCGTTACGTATGCTTTCTTGAAGAATGGGGTGGGAAGCTATGACACTATCCCTCCTACCCCCTGTGACTGGAACAGTTCTCTGGGCAGCTGTCCTGCCTCCAGGACATAGTGGCTGCTGCTCATGCGCACCAGGCGGGCCAGGCCTTGACTCCTCACAAGCACTGGAATCTAGAATCTGCCTGAAGGCGTACACTGTGCTTTCAGACATGCGCGGTTAGTGAATGAGACAGAACAGGCCTCTGCTCCGAGTGTGCTTGTGTTTGGCAGAGGGTGAGTGTGAGTTTGACTATGAGTGTGAATCCCTCTGAGAGTATCAACCTGTGTGTAAATGTGCATGTGTGTATATGCCAAGGGCTCAGCATGGCTTACAAAGTTCTTCCGTAATCTAGAAACCAACCTCCTGTTTCATGTGTAATTCTCCAGGACTTTTATATTTATTACTGTTTTCAAAATATTTATTTATTTTATATGCGTGTATATGCATCTGAGTGTTTGTATGTCCATCATGTGCATGCAGTATCCACGAGTCCAGAACACTTTTTTTTTTTTTTTGAGACAAGGTCATACTATGTAACCCTGGCTGGCCTGGAGTTTGCTATGTAGGCCAGGCTGGCCTGCCTCCTGAATGCCACCATTCCAGGCTGGTGAGTATTCTCAAACACTGGGCCATCTCTCTTTTCTTTCACTTACTTCAGCAGTGAGGTGATGGGAGAGCTCTGCCTCAGGAAGCCCTTCATCTTAACCTTGTTCAGGGGCCACTAGAGAGGGAAGGTAATTTCTCAGGGTGTGTGTTTTCGTTTTCCTGTGCACACCGAGTCTCCGTCTGATGAGGGTAGACTTAGTAGAAGGTTGAGTGGCCACCCCAGCCCTACGGTGTGGTGAGAGATACAGATTTTTCTGTTCATCGTCGTCCTTTTAACAGGAAATCAGCCAATATTTGGTAATAGTCAAGGCTAACAAAATTCCAGTGTGAAGAGCTCGCCAGCGTGTCACAGGAGTGCCTCGATAAGTGAGGGTAATTGGGATTACGAATAGTCACTTGAGTCTGCTTAAACAAGGACGGGCATCTCCGAGTGGAGATGTGACAAGTTTTGTATCGAATGCCATCGAGCTACTAGCTGAACTGATGTGCAGATTCCTGGAACCAACCCGAAGCGAACTGCGTGAATCTGGGAGGCTGGTCCCTCGTTCGGAAGAGCTACAGCTTCTTTTTCAACACACACTTGATTTTCACATCATCAGAAGAGATTCGAGTAGAAATATTTGCAAGCCTCATCAGTCTCCCGGAGGGCCTTCCAGTGTCTGAAGTGCTCGAATTAGTCTCTGTTCACCGATTATGAGCGATGCTTTCCATCTCCAGTTGCCGCTGGTCTCGTTCCGTGGACCTCGGCTTCTTGATGGCTCTAAGATGGGTCTGGGATAGCTCTCTGGCATGGCTTTCCACTCCAGTTATGAAACATTGCTGCTTTTCTGGGCTTTGCAAGGTCTCTGCTCTTTACAGTTCGATCAAGAGGAGTAAGCTCTGAAATGCCTAACTATGGTTTGGATGGGACAGGTAAGGAGCAGGGGGGACTTGGAGGGATGTTACCAGTCCTCTTATTGACTCTTGGTGATTTTTGCCTCCTGTTGTAGCCCCAGTAAGAAATATTCACTGCCCCTTGCCCTGCCCATTTGCTGCTGGGGATTAAACCTGGGGCCTTGTGTGTGCTAGGTAATAAGCACATTACCACTGTGGTCCACATCCAGCCCTTTGCTCTTGCTTTTGGTTCTTGGTCTGGGGATGTAGGTGACTCCTAGGGCACATGGCTAGCCTGTGAGATCTTAGGCTAGTATCCTCAGAACCACAGGGGTGGGGAAGGGGAGAGAATGAAAAGAAAAAGGAAGAGGAGGGAGAACCTGGTGATGGTGGCGCACGCCTTTAATGCCAGTACTCAGGAGGCAGAGGCAGCTGGATCTCTGTGAGTTCAAGTTTAAGGCCAGCCTGGTCTACCTAGCAAGTTCCAGGACAGCTAGAGCTACATAGTGAGACCCTGTCTTTAAAAAAAAGAAAAAGAAAAGAGGATTAGAGCATACTAATCACGTGAGTCGGCCATAGCCTCTCAGCCAGGACACTCTGGGCCATCATCCATCTGTCCCCTTGAGTCTCTCTTGCACTGAGATCCAGCACCGTGTTATGAAAGATGGGCCAGTAATGCTAACAGACACACACACTAAAAGAGTCTCCAATGTGGGGCTGGTGCCATGGCACACTGGGTAAAAGCACTTGCTGTACGGCATTAAGACTCAAGTTTGAATCCCTGGAACCCACACAAAGGGTATGGCCTGGGTCTGTGACTTCAATATTTTTCAGAGCAGAGACACGGTATAGTTGGGATTACTGGCTGACAGCCTCGCTCCAGGGTCACTGAGAGACCCTGTTGCAAGGGAATAAGGTGGACAGTGATAGAGCAAGACACTCAGGGTCCTCTGGCACACGGGCATGTACACACACACACACACACACACACACACCCCTACAGATACATACATACAAGTATATATAACACATATATACACATACATGCATGTATAACACACATGTGCATGTAGCATACACACATATACAACACACACATATTTAACATATGTGTGGGTATGACATGTATGTGCATATAGCATACACACTCATACACAAACATATAGTCTCCAGTGTGTAGTCTATTTCAAAGGGTTCTCGTTCTTTTTCCCTTGTTTATTTATTTATCTATTTTTTTCAAGACAGGGTTTCTCTGCAGCTTTGGAGCCTGTCCTGAATCTCACTCTGTAGACCAGGCTGGCCTTGAACTCACAGAGATTCATCTGCCTCTGCCTCCCGAGTGCTGAGATCACGGGCGTGTGCCACCACCACCCAGCAGCATATTTAATTTAATTGCATAAAATAATAGGTTTCGTGACGTTCTCACAGGGGGACATAGTATATGTTGAACATACTCAAACCCCACGACCTGATTGTCGGCTCTCTTTCTTTGCTTCATAGAATGGAAATATCTGATATGGACTGTTAAGGGTTTTCCTCCATTTTACCACCCCGCACCCCCCACTCCCCACCCCCACCCCCACCCCCAGCCCTTCCCCTCTCTGCTTCCCCTCCTCCTTTGCAGTTCTGGGGACTGAACCAAAGGTTTCTTGCATGCTAGGCAAGCATTCCACCACTGATTCATCCCTCCCCCCCCCTCCGCCTCCCCCGCAAGTTCTGATTAGAGTTCTTTTTTTTTTTTTTTCTCTGCCATAAAATTCAAGCAAACAACACAACAGCAATGGATTGGACCAGGATGTGAGGGGCACTGAAACACGGTAGATATAAAACACTGATCGTTGTACAATGAGCCCGGGCCTGCAGAGATGGCTCAGCGGGTAAAGCCCTTGCCTCACAACCAGGAGGGCCTGAGTTCGATGCCAGACAGGATAGGTTGATCTGGTCTGTAATTCCCCTCTTATGGTAAGATGGGAGGTGGAGACATGCGTGCATGGATCAGCTCGCCCACTGTGCTGGGTGGAAAACAGCAAAGGGACCCCCCCCCCTTTTTTTTTTTCTCGAGACAGGGTTTCTCTGTGTAGCTTTGGTGCCTTTCCTGGATCTCAATCTGTAGACCAGGCTGGCCTCCAACTCACAGAGATCCGCCTGCCTCTGCCTCCCGAGTGCTGGGATTAAAGGCGTGCACCACCACTGCCTAATGAGACCCTCTCTTTTTAACAAGGTAGAATTTGAGGACTGGCACCCAAGGTTGTCTTCTGACCTCCACACTCACATCTCCACGCTCACGTAAGAACAAATGCACACATTGCACATGCATACGTGTCTCTCAC